ACTCCCATCGCTATCCAAAGCCTACCCGGCGGTGCCATACGGGTGCAGCCCGTTACGTACAAATCCGCAGGCGAGCGAAGAGTCGGTCTTCTAACCAAGCTGTTGGCGCACTTCCCCGACTATGCAGAGACTATCACTCAAGTAGGGAGACCCGGGAAGTCCAAAGCACGGCCTTTGCCCACATCTCGCCCGATCCATGTCTTTGTTGATATGTCTAATGTAAGTCTACTCTCCCGAATCAACATCCGTGCAGCTGTGGGTACTGATCCTGATTGAAGATCATGGTTGGGTATCACGACTCCATGAAAGTATCCCGGAATATTCCGGTGAAAACGCGGATCCGCCGCTTGCCACTCTCATTCCAGAACTTCTCGTTGATCTTGGAGAGGGGTCGGCCGACCGCCAAGAGAGTCTTGGTGGGCTCCGATCGCTTCGCAGCGATCGACGAAGGCGAGAAGCTCGGCTACGAGACGAACATTCTCGACCGAGTCCACAAGGCGAAACAACCTTCTCGTCGCCAGCTGAAATTCCGTAAAAGTCCGCGGGGGGCCGCTCCGGATGGCGGTAGTGGTTCTGAAACGAACGACACGCCGGAAGAGCGGTGGGTCGAGCAGGGGGTGGACGAAATTCTACACCTGAAGATCCTGGAAAGCCTGTTGGACACGGATGATCCAGCAACCATCGTTTTAGCGACCGGGGATGCGGCGGAAGCCGAGTTCTCCGGAGGATTCATGAAGATGGTGGAGCGGGCGCTGCGGCGGGGGTGGACGGTGGAACTGGTGAGCTTTTCCCAGGTCACCAGCTACGCCTATCGCAAGAAAGAATTCCGCTCGAAATGGGGGACTCAATTCAAGCTGATCGCGCTGGACGGATATATCGAAGAGCTGTTGGACCTGTGACGGATGGCACTCATTTTACTCTTTGTTTGAGCTTTAGATAGCGGGGCTGTCATGACATATCATATATAGATACGTATTCGAAGATTGATATTCAATCCAAGTCATCGTAGACGTTCTCCCGCAAACAATATCACAGATCAGTTTTACAACCAAATCCTAGACTATAGTCCCGTGATCCCACCCAATCACAACAGACGTCATAAGCCAAGAACCTGAAAGCTTCCAATCCAGTTCAAGACTCAACCACCTTCACCCTTACTCTCAACACACACCAAAGGGCACAGAAAAGCCCTCCGCCCGCGACCCAAAAAATGCCAACATACACAACGCGCGCCTTCTACGGCGGAGCAATAAAAGGCCCAACGCCAGAAAACTGGCTCGACGCAAGGTAAGTGCCCCACACCAGAGCGCAGGAAAAAAAGAAAGACACGCAAGTAACGACCAAAAACCGGCCCCGCCAGCGACGTGCGCGAAATCCCAGACCACCAAGAAGTGTTCCTGTCACGGACGACGCTGACGACGCAAATCATCGAGATCAATGAATTTGTGGATCAGGGAGCGGACGACGCCGCGGCGCTGTACCACGTGCGCGATCTGTGCGACGAAGATGAGAAACTGGATGTCGTGAGCGGGCCGACGAAGGTGGCTATGGGGAGGTTCGCGGCGTCGGTTTCGGGGTTTAGGGGTGTGGTGTGTATTACGGGGGCGAGGAAGGGACGGCGGGGGGTTGGGTCGAGTGGTGACGGGCGGTTGGTGAGCACGGTTAGTGTGCATTATTTGGTGGTTCGGTTGCCGGAGCAGGGGACGGATTTGGTGGTTTTGGTGAATGTGCCGCATGAGGAGTTTGAGATGGATCTCGGGGGGTTGGAGGAGGAGGAGAGGTTGGCGCGAGGGTTGATTGATGGGTTGGTGGAAGAGTTGGAGATTGTGGATTGGGGGTTGTTTGCGTAGATTCTTGCTGGAGGGATGGATATGGAGCATGTATATAGATAAATTAATTAGTTAGACTGAGTGATAGTCAATCCAAAAGCCAATGGAAGATGAGAACTTGAAGACGTTGAAGCGCTTGATAGCGGTTGGTTCATTGTATGTGCTTGCCTGACTAGGAGTCTCGTCATTGCATAAGGATCGTGGTGTACATTGGAAAGCAGAATATCCCAAAAATGAGAGACGGGGAGACATATCATCGCTAAGGAGAGCAGAACATCATAGATATATCGTCACCAAATAAACGCCCAAAACGACAGGTAAATCTTCCCGAAATATGTATGTATAAGGAGAGACAATCGATGAAACCCAGAACACCGCTGTGTTAGTTACGCAAACTGATCTCCCCCAGGACGTCCGCTACATCATCCACAGCCAATTTCTCGACATCCCCAAGTGGCTTCTTCCTCGGGGAGACCTTTCTCGGCTTCGGCTTGATCTGCTGGAGCAACCCTCTGCACTTCCCACATCCAGATTTGGTAGGGTCAATGCTCTTGGAATGACGGCCGTATGTCTGGCCGCAGTCCACACAGCTCCATACGTACTTGTAGTCAATCTTGTAGCCGTGTTTGGTCGTGACTTCAAATCGGCCGCCGTAGACCGGGTGATCCTGGAGGGCGTCCTTGCATTTGATCCCCCATTGCTTGAAACTTGACCCGTGGGGATTATTGTGAATATTCGAGATCATAAAGTTGGCCAGGTGGCAGTATTCATGGGCCAATGTACTCAACAGTCGGTCCTCGTCGTCAATAATCCGTTCAGCCAGCTCGATAGTGGCACAGTGCCTGGGCGAAGATGCACCATCTGTTCCACTCATCGTACCCGACGTTCGCTGCTTCTCGCGCTTCCACTGAGCTCGTCCAGCGGTGGTTTGGAGAGTCTTGCTCCAGAGAATCTGAACACCACCCGTTTCCTGCGCCATTGCTTGAATCTGACCACCGGTAACCTGGTCATCTAGAACTTTGAAGAAGTCTTCTGCGACGGCGGTTTTCTTGTTATCAAATGATTTTTTGCGTGCCAGGGCGGCTTTTTTCTTCTCGATCTCTGCCTTTTTCAGCGCCGTCTTGCTGGGAGCTTTGGCTGCCTGTTGTGTTGCTCTGCTTCCGGGCATGATGTCAGAATCAACCTCGTGGTCTGCCTCTTCGAAATCCTGCAGGAAGTTCTGTAATTTGCGCGGCGAATGGCGGTCGATCCAATCGTTGGTGGTTTCCTGGCACCAGAAAGCATCTACACTCTCCCGATATGGCGTGGGGGGAATCTGGGCTTTTCCTTTGGTAGGTGAATTGAGACTGTTTTTGGACGGGCTGGCAGGCGGTGTTCCCGGATTCACTTGCTCCAGCTTTGAACTTTGGGGACGATGTTCAAATGTTCCGAGGAAGCTAGTTGGGAGTCAGCATCCTGGGTACTTTTTATTAATCGCAGCGTTGCAACTTACCGGTCCAGATCTTGTTGGAGTTGAGAAGACGGGTCATCCTCATCAGAACCATCTTCATCAGCAGGACTCTCAGCGGCCTCGTCAGTAGCAGCATAATCTGCGCCAGCATCCTCGGCGGGGGAGTCATCAGCGGGAGTGCGGTCGTCTTCCAGGTCTACACGGTTCATTTTCTCGTCGATTTTGGAAGTATTCCTGAATAGTTTTCGAGGACTGGCCTGCGGGTCGGAGGACGGCATTGAGACCGCAGCAGGTAGCGATGGCTCTAGACGAAGGCCGCTGTGTATGGAGCTCTCAAGAGCTCTCTTGATCTCTGCCTCGGGGTTCGGACGTCGGCCCCTAACCAGTCTCCTTTTGACTCTGGGCGGCGAGGGTGCCTTGTTGATCTCTTCGGGTTCCGATTCGCCTCCCGAGGTCTCATGGTGAGTAGGCTCCTCATTATCACTGACAATGAAATCATCCAGGGAGTTGAACCCATCGTCACTTTCTTCGTCTTCAGACCTATGGGCCGGCTGGCGATAATCCCTAAACTGGCGACCATTCTTATTTCTGGTAGGTGCCTGCCGAGCATCCCGCCTGACGGGAGAACGTCGGGTCGACGACGCATCGGAAGGATTCCGACTAATCGAAGAAGTGGTAGAGTATTCCTCCACAACCTCCTCCACAGGATAATTCTCCTTGGTATAATCGTACAGCTCCGATTTCCTGGCGGACCGATTCCTCGAATGTCTCGACTGTGGCATCAGCAGCGAGTTCGCACGTGCCAGCTGCAACGGATCACTGGGACGTCCTTCAGTCGAAGAACGTGTATTCGACGAACGTGCAGTCGAGGCAAAAGAGTCGTCTTCCCGGTCACTGAATCCATCACTCTCAGAAAAGATATTAAAAATCCCACTCGACACGGTCCCACTCCTTTGCAAGTGTCTCTGCCGCTGAACGGGTCTATCACTCGTCGTTGTCGTCGTTCTTGTGGTTGTACGTTTGAACTCCGGTTCATCGAATAACGTCCCCGCTTGGTCTCCCACTTTCGGCGTGGGTGAGGAGTCTCTGAATTTACTCGAGAAGAGTGAGTTGGTGTTGGACTTCAGTTTTCTGACAGATCTGGTTGTATTCTCGCGCAAACTGTCTTGTTTGACAGGGCTGGTCGTGTTGAGTCGAGCCATTGTGATTGGCTTTGGTTGGCTGGTGTATGGATGTATGATTTAGGTGATACTTGGACTTGGTGTTTGCTGGTCTTGCTCCGGGTTTATAGTTTCAGTAAGACATATCAGATAAAAGTCCCGTTGGCAGAGGCAGTGCCGGAAGTATAAGCAAAGGTGGAGAGGAAGATTATATGGGCTTCAGGTGCGTTCTGGCTGGAGTGTTGACGAAATTGGCCTGAGGTTGGGGGTGGTTGTTGGCATGGCAACGCTGCCAGCTGATCCGGGAGGAGCATAACGGGGGGCCAATTGGATGGATAGATAGTGATGATGTATGAACTCCGTACATATTATTTATGCATGTATGGGCGAGCACTCGGAGTCTAGACAACGGTCAAAAAAGTGAAAATTCCTGGTCCTCGCATGACTACTCTGTACTTACAGTATGTAAGTAAGTACGGAGTACGTACTACAGAGTACTAGACAGCAAGTAGTATATGTAGTCTACGGAACATCTATCTGTAGATACAAAAAGATAATGAAGGCCCGAGCCGCGGATCGAACGCGGGACCTCTCGCAGATATGCTTGGGTTATTTCCCTAAGCGAGAATCATACCACTAGACCACCCGGGCTTCTTGATGAAATTACATCATTATTTTTGCCTACATAACTCAAATCTTTCCGTGAATACAAACCCCATATCAATAGCAGTGTCATACGACTTCACTCTTCATGCGAGAAGTTCCATCGGATTTACTGTCTCGTCGGTAAATAATAATTAGTAACCTATCTCTGAAAACGCAAAGATCCCAGTGGAAATCTGAATACTCCGATTTATTAGTAGTATGTTCTTACTACCTTGGTATCCATTACTAACTTGTTGTACCGTGGTACTTCTAGTATGCATTCACTTCAATATATATACTACAGCAATGCCAGCTCGAGTTGGAGTACCTGAACCTCACTGGCAGCTACTAGTACTATCATAGTAGTACTCCCCAGTACGACATCAACACCGGCAGTCCATTGTCCAGCATACTCCAATTTCTCAACCATTCCCCAAGTCGCAAAACCCCAACAGCCCACCCAATCCCATGAATTGAGAACCCACACCCGAGGAAATATGGTCTATGGCCGAAAAGTAAGCATGGAATTCGAAAATGCAACAGGGTCAGTTGACTGGAACAGCGGTATAAAGTATCACAAGGTTATATGAAGCCTGGGACAGATATGGCCCTTGATGCAGTAAGGACCGAAAAAGGATGATCAAGGTATGTCCAATACCTCCCGTCGAAGCCCCAACAGACACAGCGAACGGACAAGGAAACCAATCGCAAAGTCCTCCATGAGAACGAATCACAAGAAGGAAACAAAAGACAAAACATGCGATACCTGCAGTACAAATACATACACATAGCAATATTCATATTGAACAAGCCACCTTTGCTCCCAAGGACGTACAAGAAGAACACCACACAACCACAGACCTGCGGCAGAACTAACCCGACTGGTGTATGATTGATAATGTATGTGGTTACAAACCACCGGGAACAAAGTAGCAGCGAACGAGCCCTACAGGAAGATCATACCCGCGCCGGCAACCATGGCCGTGATCACGCATGCCCCGAGCTGCAAGACACTAACACTGACGCTAGAAGGAGTAACCATACCACTGGCACCCTCCGAGCTAGACGCAGCTGCGCCGGATGCGCCAGAACCAGCAGTACCAATAGGAGAGGAAGTGACGATGCCAGTGCCAGAAGTACCGGCCTCATCAAGGAGTGCAGAGCAAGCACTGCTGCCGCTATCACCACTCTTGGTGCTGGCAGCTCCGTCGAAGTCGCAAGCCGTGTCACCGTTGCCCTTAGCCTTTTGCTTTTCGTAGTACAGGTTCATGGCAAAGGACAGCTGCTGCTGCGCAGTGCACACGCTGTAAGCGCCAAACTTTCCAGTAGTGGCGTTGGTGGTGACCCCCTCGCAGACATCGTAGCCACAAACGGTACCGAAGAGCTTATTCAACTCCTCGCCGGATACATTGTCTTTCAGAGCGCAGCTCAAGCTTTGTTCCATGCAAGAACAGAGGTCTTGGTTCGGGGAGGGAGGCAACGGACTTGAAGTTGCGAGCCATGTGCCGTCAACACTCGGACAGGACTGAAGAGCAGTGTTCGTGGGTTGGTAATCACCCTTCTTCGTGCCAGAGGGGGTAGCGCTGGCCAACTCCTTGGAAAGGTAGCTGAAGTCGGCCTTAGTGCTGACTTTGCTTCCATCAATAGACACCAGCCCTGAAATCTGTTAGCTAAAAGATCCCAGACCTAGCCAATGTTAAGCCTACCGTAGTTGTTCTCCTCCTGGAAGTACATGTACACAATACCTCCGGACCAGACATCAGCCATCTTGTCTCCGTACAGAGCCTGGACCTCGGTGAACTTGCGAGGCTGAACTGCATTGCAACCATACTCAGCGAAGAACACGGGGACGGTGTAATCCTTGAACTCCTCAGTGCGAGAGGCATATCCAGACTTCTCATAATCGGAGTCTCCGCACCAGGAATAGACATTGTAACCCCAGAAGTCGATACTGTCATCCGCCGTGCCACAGTTAAAGTAGTCGGCCATGTGTTTACGGATGCTCGAGTCATCACTAGTAGCGTAGCCAACACCCATTGGTTGATATTTCTTGGCCTTGATGTATCGCTTAGTATCACGAACAGCCGCCTTGACGAAGGCGCTGGCAGCCGTGGTATTCTCACTGTTAGAGACTTCATTTCCAGCGAAGAAGCCAATAACATTCGAGTACTTTGAAAGCTCATCGACCACAGTCACATATCTGTTGTATAGATCGTTGTTCCACATAGGTTCGTTGCGATTGATAGACTCGCCAGGGGAGGACAAATCTGCAATAATGTAGATACCGGCGTCGCTGAGAAGACCCATACACTCCTTATGATCAGATGATGGATCAATAGCATAAACACGAATGGTGTTGGTGCCCAGCTTTTGGAGATACGGGACATCACGCTTGCAAGCATCGGCGTCGGCTAGAGGATCCTTGAAGCTGCTGGCGGAAGAACCGGGACCGGAGTACTCCTCTATATAGAAAATCAGCCTGTCTCATGCAGAATATAGTAAGGAAGACAAAAGACCCACGCTGATAGGCAACACCGCGGATGTAACTGGGCCTTTTTGTTAGTATCCAGTGAAGAAACGACTCCTTCCAGAGGCCTTACATACAACTGAGTGTCATTGCTGTTGTAAAAGAACTTGGAGCCCTTGATAGTGATCGGATCTAGGTCAGCAGAAATGACGCCGGTCGCAAAGATGGTCGCGCCCGCGACAAGGTTGGACAGCTTCATGCTGAATGTGTAGACAAGATGTTATCGAACAATCGGCGAGATTGCCAGGCACCAACCAAACCAGGGTCCCAGGTAGACGTCCACTTGCACTCCAAAGGTCAAAGATGGACAGATTTGTGAATGGAGGGATGGGAATAAACAATTGAAATTAAGATATTAGTGCTTAAAAAGAGCACAAAACGAGGAACCATAGATAAAAGAATGACTGCAAATCTCTAGATTAATGGAGAGCAATAAATTGAATGAGAAGAAGGTTTTACTTCTAACGCGTATCCAACAAAAAAAAAAAAAAGAAAAAGTCGGCACGAAGACTTCTCCGGGGCTTCAGGATGTTCTTCTATAGGCATTACTGGCGGACACTCAGGTTCCAGAGATTTCAGAGAGAAAGGCCTCAAGTGCCCAGTTCTCTAGGGTCACGAGGAGTAAAGAGCGGGACGGGATAGAGACTCGCCTGCAAGTGCCTTCCTCTAAGGATACAATAAGAGGATGATCACGGGTGATATACAGTGATATTCCTGTCTGCTGGCTGTCATTTGCCCAGACACATTGTTCAAGGATGGGTTGATATCAGAGGCCTCAGGAACGCGCAATCCCGGTCCACAATGGAAACAGAGCAGAGGGGTCGATGCTGTCTAGGCAAAAGCTTAACTGCCACCCTCCTTCGAGTGATATATAGAGAAGGCCGAGGAGCAAAAGCCGACTTCAGCTTTGTTCCACATTCGCAACTCTACTAAGGCTATCTGAGCCACCAAATCCATTCCGAAGCCATACGTGAAGCCATGACTAGGGTAGTCTGATTAAGCTCAGAATGCCCACTTCGAAGACCGTGCGACCCTGATCTCGTATCCACTATATGTCGCCGACATGGGTTGATCGTTGAATGCAGAATATCAGTCATTCTTTCGATAACTGCTTTGAAGACCGCCCCCCCCAGGATGACAGAGAAGTATCTGTACACACCAGTGCCTACGAAGCATCATTATGATGTAGGACATAGCCGTCCCGGTCACCGCATCCAGAATCTGCGGTGGGCGCTGGCTATGCTTCTTGCATGGAACAATTCTTGTCTGGAGAATGTTGATCCTGGGAGGCACTTGCGATTAGGAAGCCCAGTTGGGTATCCCAATCTGTCACTTGTGGCGACGCAGTGAAGTACATACATACATCTTCGTGACGGTGAGTGGCAGGCAGCAATTGTAGATCCATATTCCGCTGGACGGTCGAGCGTCCGACTTATGACGATCTTTCCTACTTTGTCAGTGGATCAGGGTTCAGTATGAAACCTCTTGGATGAACAAACGCTCACGGCTAAAGAAACAAGCTTATCCAAGTTGAAATCTTCTTCCAGACCCTTGTGTACAGAGTACTCCGTACTACTGGCTGAATGCCGACATTACAACTGAGGTTCAATGCAGAAATTCTCATCAAGGGCCCATATCGTCGAACGAAGTGATGAACGTTATGATTTGAATGTTTGGCTTGATTGTTCGGCTTCTTGGTGTTATGTAATCAATGTCGAGGATGTAAAAAACAATACCCCGGAGTACTGCACATACACACATCATCACGAATGGGTGTTGTCCACCTGCAAATTCCAGTTACTTCTTAATACGGAGAACGGAGTACTACGGCTTCCATACAATAGGACTTACACGGAATTACATCTCGAATAGTACCTAGATAATAGATAGGTACTCCGTACACCAACCAGAAATTACCGACTACTAATAATGATCCTCGAAGCTGAGACTTGAAAAGACCCCCTTTTCCCAAGTGTTCCACACCGTGAACCAAGCGCTGGCTGTGCCATTAAGCGCTAATCAACCATAGGCCGTTATGGATTTACCGGTTTGCCACCCGCTGTATTGTAGCACCCGATTGGCAGCTAGTCACACCAGCCTGGAGCCCTCTACGATTTAAACAAGAAAAAAAAAAAATTGAAAAATGAAAAATGAAAAATGAAAAAAAAAAATTATGGAAGTTCCCACCCGACGCAGCCACCTGTTTACAGGTTGGACGATATCGTGGATGGCATGAAACTGGCGAATCAGGCCATGTCTACGGAGTACTCTAGTGTGGAGTTAACATGACCTCGGAAAGTGTGGATGCCGCTGTACTCCGTAAAGTAGGGCATCTAATTAGAGGTACTAGTCCTATTCTTCCAATCACCTGTAAATAATAGATTGTTTCTGTAAACCTCCCCCCCACAATTTGCTTTTTGCTTGTTTTCCCACTGAAATACTACTGTAGTTTTTCTAGAAAGCAAATAGCGAACCTTAT